CCATGATTGAGAGCAGCTAAGGCCATGCACTGTAACTAACGAGCCCAGGCTCAGCCTGTGAGCCAAACTCCTGAAGCCACACACCCAGTCCTGAAGCCCGCACGCCCACATCCCATGCTCTGTAACAACAGAAGCCACCACAACGAGAAGACCGCCCACCACAACCAAAGTAACCCTTGCTCGCCACAACTAGAGAAAACGTACATGCGGCAATGAAGACCCAGCATAGCCAGAAATAAAATAAAATTTTTTAAAAAAGTAGAGAAAAATAATGCTACTATGAACATTCATGTACAAGTTTTTATGTGAATCTATAATTTTTTAAGTCTCATAGGTGTGTCCTGAGGGACAAGGTTACTGGGTCATATAGTGACTCTTTATTTAACTTTTTGAAGAATGGCCAAATTGTTTTCTGCAGTGGCTGTGCCATTTTACCTACTAGGAATATAAGAGAGTTCTAGTTTCTCCCCATGCATGCAAGCTCCTATGATTTTCCCTATATTATTATTATTTTTTTATTATTATCATTCTAGTGTGAAGTGATATCTTACTGTTGTTTTGATTTGTAGTCCCCCAGTGACTATGTTTTATGTTTTTTCATATGCACATTGGCCATTTGTATATCTTATTTTCAGAAAGGTCTCTTCAAGTCCTTTGCCCATTTTTATTAGGGTTGTTCTCTGTTGTTGAATTGTGAGAGTTCTTTATATATTCTGGATACTTGAACCATATCAGATGTGTGATTTGCAAATAATTTGTCTCATCTTCTAGTTTATCTTTTCACTTTCTTGATAGTGTCCTTTGATGTATAGAAGTTTTCAGTTTTGTTCAAGTTCAGTGTATCTTTTTTTTTTTTTTTCATTTATTATTTGTGCTTTGTGGTGCCATACTTGGCCCTCATTTACTTTTAACCTCTAGTTTCAATCTCTTGTACCTTTATGAGTGAAAGTTGTTCAGTCATGTCTGACCCTTTGCAGCCCCATGGACTGTAGCCCGCCAGGCTCCTCTGTCCATGGAATTCTCCAGGAAAGAGCCCTGGAGTGGGTTGCCATTCCCTTCTCCAGGAGATCTTCCCAAATCAGGGATCGAACCCATGTCTTCTGCATTGTAGGTGGTTCTTTACCATCTGAGTCCCGAGGTAGGCTTCAAATTTTTCTCTGGTAGCTTTTTTTTTTTCCTCTTCAAATAAATGTTTGCCCCAATGACTTGCTCCTTATTTCTTACTCCATGGGCCATTCCTGGGAAATCAAACGTCCTTAGTTCTAGCATAGCTTTAGGTGCTTGTAAAAAAGGTTGGTTGACTTTCAGAGGAAGAAATTGATTACTGATATATTTTCTTTTAGCTTTATTGAGATATAATTGACATATATTGACATATATTTATTGAGATATAATTGACATATACCATTGTGTAAATTTAAGATATATACTGTGTTGACTTCAATCACTTATGTATTGCAAAATGATTAGCACCATACTATTACCTAACCACCCCTATCATTGTCACATAATTATCATTTCTTTTTTGTGGTTAAAGACCTAGGAAACAAGTTAAAGCTTTGGAATTTAGGACAACCATGAAGTGAACTTTTTATATCTTGGCTATGTTAGCAAAAAGTCATCATTGATATATAACATTAATTATCAGTGTAATGGAAAGATTAAAGTTTGAGATGTTCCCTTTCCTCTTGAGAAGTTGAGAAGTTCCAATACAGTAGGTATTACTGTCCAACCCATTATCCAAGCAAAACTGTGTACCTGCTTAGGTAAACAGTCGAAAGATTAATGGTAGACAAGATCTTATATAGTTGACACTTGAATAAAATAGATATTATTGTTGTTGTTCGATTGCTAAGTCGTGTCTGACTCTTTGCAATCCTATAGACTATAGCCTGCCAGACTTCTATGTCCATGGAGTTTTTCAGGGTTGCCATTTCTTTTTTCTGGCCATCTTCCTGACTCAGGTCTTGAACCTGCATCTCTTGCGTTAGCAGGAGGCTTCTGCACTCCTGAGCCACCAGGGAAGCCTGAATGAAGTAGATGATTCTGAACGAAGAACAGTCCTTGGGTTTGGAGCAAAGGAAAGGGAACTTGAAATAATCAAACTGAATATTTACCACACTGTGTCCATGGTAGTTTTCTTACAGTTAACACTAATCTTTATACCATTGAGGACAATGATTGTTGACCTTTTTCTTTCAGGAGATGCCATCTTTTAAGGTTTCTCAACTTCATAAATAATTGCTTTTCTTCTTGTAAATTTATAGAGGTATGAGATTAGTTCTCCTGTTTCCCTGTCCCTGATTCGATTTAATGCCATAGGGTTTACTTTCTGTTCTTGGCTTCAACAAATAAGGATTCTTGGCTTTCTGTTCTTGGCTTTCAAGTAGATGAGTTTTATGTCACTTTCTGTTTTGAATACTGCCTTTAACCTTTAAACATGCCCTTTACCTTAATTACCCCAGTTTCTGCTGTTTAGAAATATTTAACTTGTTGCAAAATATATGTACCTTTTTTTTTTTTGCTCTTGTCTCAGATTTCTTCTCAAATGTCTATTTCATTCTGATAGAGAGAGAGAGAAAGAAAGTGCATGAGAGAATCTCTTTATTAAAACTACACCATAAAGCAATTGCTCTTTTAGGTATTTATCCTAAGGAAATAATCAGAAAATATCTCAATGCTAATTCTACAAGGATGTTTGTTGAAGTAATATGCATAAAGCACAATAGAGGGCATAATCTAAAAATCCAACATAAGATGTTGGTTCGACAAATTGTGGTGCAATTATTTACTGGACTACTTGGCAGCCATTAAAATAATGTTGCAGGAGAATATTTAATAATGTGAGGAACTTTATAATATGTTAAATGAAAAAAGTACAAATTGCAAAATAGTATGGACAATGTGCTCTGCTATTTAATGACAGGTCTGTGAACATAGCATAAAATTTGAAGGCTATATAACAAACTATTAACTGTGGTTATCTCTGCATGATAGGATTATGGGCAATTTTTCCTTGAGGAAGCTATATATTGCTTTTATCTTCAGGAAAAAAAAAATTTGAGCTCTATGCTGTATTGCTGGTCATTTTAATAGCTTCATCTTGTGTTTTAGATGTTAAATGCTTTGTTCTTTTTTCTCTTCTGACATGTGTGCTATGGATTTTTTCCATGTTAGCGTAAATAACCTCTTCTAGAATCTTGCATCCACAGAGAAGACACAGAATCTTCGTACCAATGATGAAAGTTGGATTTGTGGTTGATAGCTTCATTGCCTTAGGTTATGATGCTGTTGAGGCCAGTAGTAATTGCAGGTAACTCTTTCTGCATTCTCCCTTGGTCACTCTTTGAAAGAACTAGGTCTCTGTGATAGAAATAAAAAGTTCTTCTGAGAAGGGTATTGCAGTTGACATGTATTTTCTTACTGTATCTATTATCTTACTGTATCTCTCTGGGGCTCCCAGAACAAAACACTGCAGTTTGGATGGCTTTAGCAGCAGGTTTATCTGCTCACAGTTTGGAGCCTAGGAGCCTTAGATCTAGGTGTTGCAGGTTTGGTTTCATCCAAGGCCTCCTTGGCTTGCATGTGGCTGCGCTCTTGCTGCCTCTTCACGTGGTTGTCCCTCTGTGCACTTGCCTTCTTGTCTCTGTGTGTGCTAATCTCCTTTTTGTGTAAGAACAAAAGTCATTTTGCATTAGGGCCCACCCTAATGGGGTTGCAAAGACTCGGACATGACAGAGCGACTGAACTGAACTGAACTGAATGACCCAATTTTAACCTGATTACCTCATTGAAGGCCCAGTCTCCAACTTCAGTCACCTTCTGAGGGATGGGGGGTTTAGGGCTTCAGCATATGAATTTGGCAGGGGGCACAGTTCAGTCCATAACAGTATGCATCATTCATGATAAGTTTTAGTGACAAAGTAGTGTTGATAAAGTAAATTTTATTATGAATTATTAATGCTTATTGTAAACTATTATGATATCCCAAAGAACTACAGCTGTAAGTTATATAGGGGAACATGTAGAAGATTGTAGATATATTAGCAACAACTTTTTTAATCACCACTGGAAAAGTAACTCAGACTCTATGATCTATTGACAGTTGGGTTCATTTGTTTATGAAAAATAGTATCTTTTATAACTATTAGTAAAATAGCAGTTATCAAATATTTAAAGGGCCATCAAGTGAAGGGAGATGAAAAGGAACAGAATTAAGATCAGTGGGCAAGATATAAAACATTTGCCCCCTGGCACTTAGAACTCCCTATAAATGGAATGTGCAGACTTGAAAGTTGGTTAGTTCTTTGTGACTGAAGTTCTGAATTTGTTGGTCCGTTAAAGAGGAAATTATGTGTTGTGGAGTGTGGTTATGGAGGTTGATTACTTTTTTTAGTTTTAGATTCTTAAAGTGTAGAGTTTTGTTGTCTCTAAAAAGGTAAATAATTTATCTCACACTTATATAATTAAAATAATAAAATACTTATTAGTATTTTAAAATGTAGATTAATCATCAAGAAATGTTATTGCATTAAATATCCCAAAGACTAGTCTGTTCTTTTCCTTCTCCCTCTAGTGGGCAGCTGGAGAAGGCAATGGCACCCCACTCCAGTACTCTTGCCTGGAAAATCCCATGGACAGAGGAGCCTGGTAGGCTACAGTCCATGGGGTCGCGAAGAGTCGGACACGACTGAGCAACTTNACTTTTCACTTTCATGCACTGGAGAAGGAAATGGCAGCCCACTCCAATGTTCTTGCCTGGAGAATCCCAGGGACGGGGGAGCCTGGTGGACTGCCTTCTGCAGGGTCACACAGAGTTGGACACGACTGAAGTGACTTAACAGCAGCAGCAGCAGCTAGTGGGCAGAAATACTGTAAAAGCACAACATGGAAAGGTTTGTTACTATTCAGTGTATCACAATACATAGTGTCAGCTTTAAATAATTAATAAATGTTAATATGTCAAGAGTCATTAAAGAACATGCTTTATTCCTTTCTAGGCATAATAGTGGATCTTTGAATGTTGAAGATGTTCTTACCAGCTTTGACAATACAGGAAATGTCTGTAAGTTATATACTTATAGAAATAATTTTAGTGTTTTAAAAGTCAATTTTTAATCTTTTTTTTTCAGTGTTTATTGACTAGCGTATGTCTGTGTGTATCATAGAAACTCCTGCTGTTTTTAGCTGCATTAATAAGCCTCATATAAGATGCACCTACTAAGTGGGATAAGGCAGTTAATTTTATACTTGGCAGTTTTGTGTGTGTGTGTAAGACCCACTTGCATTTGAATCTTGGTTCTGAAATTAATCTTGAGCAATTTATATTGTCTCCATGGCCTCATTCTTTTTCATCTCTCAGAACTGAATATAAAGTATATAAAGTGTGTAATGTACTACATCCCTCATAGTTGATACTCAGTAAATGAATTTTTTTATTATTACCTGTGATGAGTACCTCTAAAGCTTTTTTTCTAACAATGAAGATAATATTATTAAGGATTATTCTGATGTAGTAAAATAAACTATTTTGATTGAACTAAATAGGGCAGAAGGAACACTGGATTCTCTAGTACTATCCCTTTTGTTTCTTGTTTCCATTTTGACCTTTTCAGTTAATCAGTCCAACATAGGGGCTGTCTCTCCCTTTTTTGCTGTGTTTCAGGTGTGTGCATTTCCACTTCTTGCTTATTCTCTCTTTCACTGGAGAATAAACCCAGAACATTTTTCCTTGCTGCTAATATACTTTAATAGAATATTTTTGTTTTATTCTTTGTTATAATACTATAGAATATATTATCTTTTGATCTTAGTCTTTAATTACATCATGATGGATTTCTCCACTGAGTAAATCATTTCATCATAATGTCATACAATGATAGAAGTCAAACAAGAATATCTTTATATCATGGTGTTGAACAATATACCATGATACAAGCTGTGTACTTCTTTCTGTGTGCTGCATAGGCTATTTTCCTTAAGATAGTGGATTATCAATGAAATATGACCATTTTAAATGTAAAAATTATATTCTAGTGCTTTTCTTTTCAAAAGAAAATTTATAACTGTAATCATTTATTGTCTGAACTAAAATAACATAGTGAGCAAGAAGTACTCATTTTAGATCAGCAAAGAATAATGTCCAACAATACTCAGGCAATAATCTTGTTCTTATGCCCACATTATAGCAAGCTTTTGATTGCTGAGAAAAGTATTTATCTATTTTGTCACTAAGAAATCTAAATATCCTAAAATTATCCTAAAATATTTAAAATAATGTAATTTTATTTTTTGTGGACAGTGATAGGCATACCTTTTAGTTTTTATATGCTGATGCTGGCTGAATTCTTTCCCAATATTATTACTGGGGGCGGAGCAAGGTCTGGGTTCAGTTCAGTTCAGTTCAGTTGCTCAGTCCTGTCCAACTCTTTGCAACCCCATGGACCGCAGCATTCCAGGCCTCCCTGTCCATCACCAGCTCCCGGAGCCTACCCAAACTCATATCCATTGAGTTGGTGATGCCATCTGACCATCTCATCCTATGCCATCCCCTTCTCCTCCTGCCCTCAATCTTTCCCAGCATCAGGGTCTTTTCAAATGATTCAGCTCTTCGCATCAGGTGGCCAAAGCATTGGAGTTTCAGCTTCAACATCAGTCCTTCCAATGAACACCCAGGACTGATCTCCTTTAGGAGGGACTGGTTGGGTTTGGGTAAAGAATGCTAATGGTGGTTGAGATGTTCTCCTTTAGTTCTTTGATAATGTAAAGTATCATTAAGTCAGGCTTTGTTGTGCTTAGTAGCTCAGTTATGTCCGACTCTTTGTGACTCTATGAACTGTAGCTTGCCAGACTCCTCTGTCTATGGGAATTCTCCAGGCAAGAATATTGGAGTGGGTTGCCATGCCCTCTTCCAGGGGATCTTCCCAACCCAGGGATCGAACCCAGGTCTCCCGCATTGCAGGCGGATTCTTCACCATCTGAGCCACCAGGGAAGCAGGTCAGGCTTACGCATGTGTAATTTAGGAACAAAGTCCTAAAATGCTATGTATGAATTAAAAAAAATTTTTGTTTTTTGGCCATGCCACATGACATGCAGGATCTTAGTTCCCCAAGCAGGGGTGGAACCCTCACCTCTGCAGCAGAAGTGCAGAGTCTTAACCACTGGACTGCCAGGAAGTCCTGAATAATGGATTTTTGGTTTGGTAATGTGAAGATCAAGTATTGTTCCCAGTGGCTCAGTATGAAATAGGGCCACTAGCTGGCAGCATTATGTAAAAAAATGTTTTTCCTTAAGGTCTAAGCTATTGTTTTGTTTATGAATGATATATAAATACTTCTCAAACATTTTTTCCCATCAACTTGTCTGTATCTACCCTCCTCCTCAAGTTGTTGTTGCATTGACAAACGGAGCTTTGTATGGTTAAGCTTTTTTTTTTTTTCCCACTGCTGCACATTGTTTGGTAGAAAGACTTGAATCTTTGGAATTAGAACCACTAGTTTCTTTGTTCTGAAATTAATCTCGAGCAGTTTATATTATCTTCAGGAGCCTCAGGTTTTTTCATCTCTTAGAACTGGATATCTAATGTATTGAAGTGTAAAACATACTACATCCCTCATAGTTGATACTCAGTAAATGAATCTGTTGTTACAGTGATGAGTACCTCTAAAGCTTTGCAGTTTTTTTTTCTAATAATAAAGATAGTATTATCAAGGATTATCTTGATGTTGTAAAAGTAAAGTATTTTGATTGAACAAGGTGGGAAAAATAGATCAAATTACACAAATAGTAATTTACTAAAATGTTTTGTCATAAATATGGTCTTAAAAACCTGAATGTATTGCCTAAGTAATAATTCAGTAACTTCTAAGTAATAGGAGAGGTGATAAAAATAAAACTTATTAAAGCATGTTTCGCAGTGTTTATATTACTCTTTAAGAAAAATCTATAATGATATTTCAACTTTTAACAGGTAAAGTCCTGTTAAAGTAAGTCTTGATTATGACTTTCATATAATTTTTGTCAAGGCTTAAAGTGATCAAGTTTTGAAAAAGTGGTTTTTCACTTGATGTCTCAAATATTTGATTGTATTGTAGTAGTGACATTAGGGGCTTCCCAGGTGACTCAGAGCTAAAGAATCTGCCTGCCAATGCAGGAGACATGGATTCAGTCCCTGGTTTGGGAGGATCCCCTGGTAGGAAATGGCATCCGACTCCAGTATTCCTGCCTGGGACATTCCACAGACAGAACAGCCTGGTGGGCTACAATCCACGGTGTCACCGAGTTGGACACCACTGAGCTACTCATGCAGGCCCACTGACATTAGATTGCATTTGTGACAGGAAAGCCCAGCAGAGGGCACTACAATCACAAGTCTATCTCACAACTCAATATAATTGAAATAAATAACTTGAATAGTAAGCCTAGGCTTTCATCGTGTAAACAGGAAAAATGTATGTTGAAAAGTTTATCTCTGATTTATTTCTTATATATTTAATATATTCAGCAATTCACCAATAAAAAAGATTTTCTTGACTGATGTGTTTTGTGCATTTTTAAATTGTAAGTATCAGTTTAATTTTCATAATTCTAGCTTTAAATACAGGAATACTTTTGGCCTTGTTAATCTTTATAGAGAAATTTCTATACAGGAAAAACAGTTCCTAAATCATCACGGTGGTAGAACACTACTATCATGCTGAAGAATATTTGGGATGAGGAAAAAACGTTTTTAATATGATACCATGAGAGAGCCAGTAGATAGAATTATCCATTTATTCAGGAATTAGTTTCTGGGTTAACATAACTTCCAGATAATATAAAAAAATAATTGAATTAAAGTACTTTATAGTTACAGCCCCCTGTATGTGTTTATACAAAACATACATATGAGAATATATACAAAATATATTTGTGTTTACTGGAACCATTAATCTCAATTTCCAGTTAACTTCAAAAACAAGTAATGCTTTTATTCATTATAAATTTTCAAAGAGCAGAGGATCAGTCTTACTGCTTGAAGTTGTTTGTGCTCTCATCAAAAAGATTTGGGAAAATCTTTAATTTTGGAAAATAAATGAAACCTCTAGATATTTTCTTATTTGTTGATATATTAGAAAAGAAGATATTCCTTTTGTTTGCCTCTATTATTTTAAATGTGTGACTTGCGAACTGTTTCATGTTTTTGAGATATCCTTTCAGTATTTGAATTCCTTTGAATGTTACAGGGAGAAATTAAAATGAATCTCACACAGTCTTCTCTGCATAATAATTCATTGCTCTTTAGGATATGACCCCAGTCTTATTTTTATATACTTATATTTGCTGTTGTTGAAAGTCAAACTTCTTTTTTGCTTACCTCTAACTAGGGATAGGTATACATATTTCGTCTTTGGGTCTGGTACTTGAGAACATACTTCTTTTTAAGGTATCAAAGCTACTTTGTGGAAAGGTCGTGTCTGCTATTGATTCATTGTGCCTGGAAAGAGATGCCATCAAGCTACCTAGGGATAAGTATAGGATGCATCCTTCACTTCAGACGAGGTGCTGGCTTCTTTTGTATTTCATGCAACGTGTCACGCAGATACCTTGGGTCACAGGAGAGTACTCTGTGGCAGATCTCTGGCTTCTGTTTTCTCTGCAGGCTGAGCCTCCTTTCCAGCCAGTCCCTGACCTCCAATCAAAGAAATCCCATCATGCCATATCTCTTCTGAAAGCACTTTCTCTTTCTCCACCTCATCTCTTTCCTCCACTGAAATGAATTTTTAAAAAAAATGATTCTCTTTAGTCCTTAATCCANACCTCCAATCAAAGAAATCCCATCATGCCATATCTCTTCTGAAAGCACTTTCTCTTTCTCCACCTCATCTCTTTCCTCCACTGAAATGAATTTTTAAAAAAAATGATTCTCTTTAGTCCTTAATCCAAATTTTACTGCATAGTATGTAGTACAACTGTTTGCTACCTGTAAAATGTCTTCAGTGCAGGGAATATAATTGCTTCATTTGAACTCTTTTTTTTAAAAAATCACCTTGTCCTTTTGACAGCATGAACAGAATATACAATTT